GTTGTGATTTTATTGGAAAGATATTAAACATGGATACTTTTCAAATAAGACAAGAAGAGTTGTGTGTATGGATATGGAGTGATCCGCAAAAACAAAAAAGCAAAATAAATATTCTTATGAATAAAATTCAAAACAAATTTAATTTTAATGAAAATTAATTAGACCAGATAAAACGTAAATTAAATACTTCCTTTCTACCAGCATATACAAGGTATTGGAATAAGTGTAAAAGATTGCAACGTACGTTCAAAAAGCAATTTAAATCTTTTATAGAAGAAATATTTAAAGTTGAATTTTCAACTGCAATTTCTTTAAATTCTTCTGTTTCATCAACTTCACAAGATTCTACTCGTCGAGGCCGCGGCCGACCAAAGTTATCTTATAAAGATTGTTCTATTCGATCAATAAGAAGACGCCTACAAGAGTTGAGATGTAACTATGACCAAGAAGCATTAGCCAAGGCGGTTTCGACTAAAATAAACAAATCTACAGCTGATGAAGAATGTAACTTTCTAAATACAGTTCTAGCAATGTATATGGATGTAGGTTTGTCAAAGGCTAAATACGAAACTCTTCGTTTGTATAATTTAAGTTAATTTAATGATAAGAACTATCCACCTTATAAAAAATTAAGTGTTGTGAAGGAAGACTGTTGCCCAAACAATATTACAATAACTGAATGCGGTGCATATGTGCACTTACAATCTCTACTGGACCATACGGTAAATAGAATCGTTTGTTCAATAGATTCTTTGAAATTAAACGATGCAAATGGAAAAAAAATTTGTGTTATATGGAAAATGGGGTATGGACGGAGCTTCCGGGCAGCAAACGGTTAAACAGAGATGGAATGTCGACACGAACCAATCTTGCAATGAAAAAACACCATCAATAGAATTATCTACAATTGAAGCTGAGATTCCAGAAAATGAGTTATCGGATAAATCTATATTCATAATTTCATTTGTGCCACTACGTATATCGCAGAAGATGGTGATATTTTATGGATAAACAATCGACCTTCATCCGTACGATATTGCCGGCCCATAAAATTTGAATTCATGAAAGAAACTTCAACAACAACCTTACGAGAATACAATTTTTACGCAGAGGAAATTCGTAAATTGATTCCAACTATTATAAAAAAATATGAAATTTCATTTACAGTGTCTTATAGTTTGAAGTGTACTATGATAGATGAAAAAGTATGCAACGTACTTACAGACCAGAAATCATCTGCATCATGCAACATTTGCGGTGCTAAACCAAGCCAGATGAATAATCTAGACCTTATAATGTCTTTAAAAAATAATAAACAAAATTATCAGTTTGGATTATCCACACTCCATTGCTGGATACGATTCATGGAGTGTATTCTCCATATTGCTTATAATAATGATTTTAAAAAAGGTTACGCTTCTGGAAACAATAAAATTTTGAAAGAAAATAAAAAAAAGAAAATCCAAAATGAAATAAAGGCTCGGTTAAGTATTAGTGTAGATATCGTAAAACAAGGATACGGGACTAGTAATGATGGCAACACAGCCAGAAGATTTTTTGAAGAGGCGGAAACAGTATCTGAAATACTTGACATTGATGTCAATTTAATTAAAAAATTTAGTACGATATTGCAGGTTCTATCATGTGGTTTAGAGGTCGACTTGGATAAATTTGAAATATATACGGTTGAAACTGCCAAATTATTTGTCCAGCTGTACAGTTGGTATAAGATGCCTCCTGTAGTGCATAAGGTATTAATACATGGAAAAAAAATAATGGAAGAATTCTCCATTCCCATAGGTAACTTATCAGAAGAAGCTCAAGAGGCTAATAATAAAATTTTTTAAAACGCACGAGAGCACAACAGTCGTTTTTGTTCTCGACGAGCTAATAATGAAGACATCCTTCATTATTTACTCATTTCTTCAGATCCTCTTATTAGTGCAATACGATTAAAAAAAAGATAAAAAAACTAAAGAATTATCTGAGGAAGCAAAACAATTATTAAAGAGCAGTGTTGATAGTGAGGAAATTTTTTGAACAAGAAAAATATATATTTACAATTATTTTTAAATATTTGAGTAACAAAATTTATATTTAAAGTATAATAATACTTTTAATAACAGTTATTTTTTATTATTGGCACGCATAATTCAGAATTTTCAGTTCAAATTTACGTATATGAAATTAATTTAAAAATTTGCGCGAATAGTTCCCCTTTCCCCCAAATAAACGACCGTGAATGGATACATTACATATAAATCCATAATCCAAATATACATCCTTCATTTTACATATCCCGTAAATTTCATCGAAATCCATTCATTTTGTAACGATGCACCCCCACACATGCATCATTCCCGGCGAAGAACTGCCGGATGCCGCCCGACGATCTCCGTCGGGCGAGGAAAGGGCGCGGTGCGCCCACCTTATTTTTAAACAACTTAACTTCGGTCGTGTGCGCGGCACTCCGCCGCACCGACATCTTCCCGGGTCTCCGACAGAAACCGAGGGGAGCCGAGCGCCCCCGAGCGCGAGCACGCTTATCGCCGCGCCGATTCCGCTCCGCTCCGCCGGCGGCGCGGCTCACGCGGGAACCGGCTTCCCCTCCCTAGCGTACCACCCGGGCGAGTATAAAATACCGGCGCCGCGACAGATAGACACACTTCGATCCGAGTCTAGCTACCTATGCTCCGCTACCCTCGGAGACGAGTACCTTTCCGCTTCCTAGGCCAGCTTGCGAAACGGGGTCCAGCGTTCTGTGCCTCGTTCAAGAGTTCTTGAGCGCTGACCGCCTTCCTACCCGGAACACCCCGTCTGCCACGGTAACCAGGGGTCGAGCGTGCCCGGCCTCCCGACAAGGATTCTTGCCGCCGGAACAGTCGGACCTCCTCGTCAACCGATCGACCAGCCTAACCCCTGGCCGTTCGTCTTCCTTCCCACCGCGCCGCGTAATTAACACCGGACCGTATCGCGAGAAAGAAACCGCGCCGGATAATATACACGCGCCCGCGCCGCGAATCTCGCGCCGCGGGCCGACCAGCCATTGGCCGGCTTAAAGGCCCGTTCACACGCGTACCGCATCGCGCCGGTACGGACCACCGGATTCGCGCCCGCCGCATAAACCGAATGCGTTCCCGAAATTTGTAAATATCGCGACCGTCTCATAGAATATAATCCGCCCGCGTCCGCCGCATAAACCGAATGCGTCCCCGAAATTTGTAATTATCGCGACCGTCTTATAGAATATAATCCGCCCGCGTCCGCCGCATAGACCGAATGCGTTCCCGAGATTTGTAAATATCGCGACCGTCTTATAGAATATAATCCGCCCGCGTCCGCCGCATACACCGAATGCGTTCCCGAAATTTGTAACTATCGCGACCGTCTTATAGAATCTAATCCGCCCGCGTCCACCGCATAAACCGAATGCGTTTCCGTACTTTGTAATTACCGCGACCGTCGTCTAGATTATAAACCGCCCGCGTTAGCCGCATGGTCCGCATGCATCTCCGTTGTAACTATCGCGACAGTCTGTTGTAATTGAACCACCATAATAAACCACGTTCCGTATCAAAACTGCCTTCTGTCTCTGGGCCTACCATCGAACTCCTGGTCCGGCGAGCTAGTCCGCGTTCGATATAAACAGCCAAAAGGCAGGCCGTTACAATTTTTACAGATTTTACAGATTTTTGACCGTTTTTTCCCGAATTGCCCCACTCGAGAGCGGAATCGTGAACTCGACGACGCGGATGGCTCGGGTACGCATTGGGTCGCCTCTGCGAAGAGGGGCAACAACGCGATCTACTTTGACAATTTTGAAAATCTTCAACCCGAGGGAACTTGAACGATATCTCGAGAGTGACGTGAATATCGTGTACAACCGTCGTTCGTATCAGACGTTCAATCAGAGCATCTGCGGTTCCTCCGAGACGTCAACTGGAAAAATCTCTGGCAATGAGAGAGGGAGAAACAATCTCGCTATGTCGCTGACTCTCTCGCTAACCGGAAGAAGCAGCGTCCTCTCAGCCAGCTACTTTCCCGCTCTGGATCTGAGCGGCGGCGAATACGAGATAGGCTTCGCGAATTTCGAGACGTACAACACGATACCGAACATTGACTCCATGAACAATAGATTTTACTTCGACATCAACAACATGATCGCTATTCCCGAAGGATCATACGAACTGGATGCTATAGATAGATACCTGAGAATGGGTATCCTCCGCAAGAAAAGTACGATTTCTTCGCACGATAAAAGCGAAACATCACACGAGAAGAAGAAGAAAGACGATTACATATACGTGGACGATAACGATGGCGACCGCGAGAAAAGCGAACGCTCGATAATTTTACGCGCTAACGAGAACACCATGAGAAGTGAGATCAAGTGTGCCTATAACGTTGACTTCACCAAATTGAACAACGTTGGCTCTTTGTTAGGTTTCTCGACACGTCGCGTACTCAAACCGAATAAATGGCACGCGTCCGACAAACCGGTAAATATTATGCGCGTGAATATCATTCGCGTGGAATGCAACGTCACCGCGGGGGCCTATAGCAATGGCAAGCCGGCGCACACGATACACAAATTCGCGCCGAACGTTCCACCGGGATATAAACTGTCGGAGACTCCGACGCAGATCATTCCGGTTATCTTCCGGTCATCGCGCGGAGTGTCACCAATATAACGTTGCGCATCGTGGATCAAATCGGACGATTGATCGATTTCCGCGGAGAGGAGATAACGGTACGACTACACGTGCGTCGCAGAAGATAAAATAAAAAAACGGGGGACGGATATGTGCGTGCGTGAAAGATGCTCGTTTTGAACGAGTCGTACGCAAAAGCCACATCCGTCATTGCACCGCGAACGTTATTGTTCGGCGCTCCGACGAAAGGAACGCGTAGACCGATTGTGAGAGAGAAGAAGAAAAACGGACTGGGCGCTGCGAACGTCGCTTTTCTACGATCTCTGGGATTCGTCGTGAAGAACAATCATGGCCGACATTCTGAGTATCGGAGGTGAGCCGCTCTTCGACGATCGCATCGTCAAGATCGAGACTCAGACTTATAATCCATACGCCAATACCACGTTCGGGCATAGCGACAAAATACGAATTCCAATACAGCAGCAGGATCTGTACACTCTACCCTGCGAAAGTTTTCTGTACATCGAGAGGGTACTCTCCGACGACATTCCGAAAACGAATTCGGATACGACGATGGACAACAATTACGTGGCGTTTATGTTCGACGAGATTCGATACGAACTCAACGGCGTAGAGATCGACAGGAACAGAAACGTCGGAATAACCAGTTTGATCAAAAATTTCGTGTCGTTGACCGCCGAGAGAAGCAGAAAGCTGCAAAACGCGGGATGGACTGTGATCAAGGAAAACGTGGGACCTCGTTTGAGAACCAAAATCGACGATTTCAATTTCTGCGTACCCCTTAACGTACTCCTAGGTTTTTGCGGGGATTACAAACACGTGGTGATAAACGCACGACACGAACTCATTCTGATACGTTCCCGAAACGACGCCAATTGCATCATCACGAAACCGGAACGCCACAAGAATCCAACAATTACTCTGTTGAAAGTGCAATGGCGAATGCCGCATGTGGTGCTGAATGACGTCAATAAATTGTTTCTTTTACGAACGTTGGAGAGCGGACGATATCTAAGTATGGGCTTCCGCTCGTGAGATCTGTACGAGTACCCTTTGCTGCAAACCACGAACAGGCATTCGTGGGCCGTGAAAGCAGCAACGCAGCTTGAGAAACCGCGATACGTTATTTTCGCGCTTCAAACCGGGAGGTCCAACGACTTATTGAAACACGCCTCCGAGTTTGATGACGGTAATCTCACCAATGTAAAACTGTACCTTAATTCAGATTTTTATCCCTACGACGATATGAACTTGGATTTTGAGAAGCGTAAAACGGCCATACTGTATGAGATGTATGCGAAATTTCAAAAATTGTATTACAGATGCAAGCAAGAGAACGCGCTCCTAACAATGGAAGAATTCGACAAATGGGGCCCGTTCGTGGTGATCGACTGTTCACGTCAGAACGAATCAGTCAAAAGCGCCACCGTAGACGTTCGCATAGAGTTTGATTGCAAACGCAATATAGATTCCAATACGACAGCCTACTGTTTCATCATCCACGATCGCGTGATCGAGTACAATCCGCTGACTAACATAGTCCGTAAGATCGTGTAAAGGAAAACAGAAGAAGAAGAACGTATCTATTTGTCTGACGAAATCGCGATAAGCGACAAGTTCAAACAGAGTGGGGGTAGCGACTGACCGTACAGAGAGACGATGTCCGTCGATCGCGACGTACCGATATTCGTGGATCTGCAGGGATTTGTTATCCGCGAAAAGTTCACAGTTAAAGAAATGGCCGTGCTCAGAAACGGAAAGGAACTAATTCACCACGTGTTTCGCGCGCCATTGGCGTGGGATCTTCTAACGAGAGCGGAAAAATCGCGGGCGTGCTGGTTGACGGCGAATCATCATGGTTTCAAGTAGAACGATGGAGACGTGAATTACGTTCGGGCGAGAACAATTATCCGAAGCGTCGTGTGCGATGGGCTGAACTGCGAGACGCTCCAACTCGTTTACGTGAAAGGCACTGAAAAGAAAGGATGTTTGGAAGAGATTCTCGGCGACGCCGTCGGTGAATTCAACGTTAGGATCGAGTCGATGGACGTCGAATACGAGGACATCGGTCGACTGGAAACTCTCAGTGCGATCCGATCTTTCCTCTGCGGACGCCACGCGAAGAACTGCGCCATGGAGAACGTGTGCAAGTTACACGATTGGTGGGCAGAACGTCGCGCGCGTCTCGACATTCTGTAATGCTGCGTGATTCTCGAGAAATTTTATTGTATTATAGAAATGAGACAGCCGTGTTGTAGTTAAGAAAAAAATTAATGTATTTTTTTTTCCACATATTACATTTTTTTGTTTGCTTTATTGTAAAGTTAAAAATATATGTATTTCATTATTTAATAGTGATAGAGATATTTCTTTCTTTCTTAATATAAGTTTCAAAACCTATCTAGAAACTTCAGCTCCCTACGCAGAGGAAAACCAAAAAGGCTGTAGAGTGCTATTTTTTTCTATGTAAAATCAACGTTTGTAGGACTAGACAGTTTAAACATTCCTGTCTTCCAACAATTGCGCTTATAAATCTAACCCCATAAAACCCATTGTATACTTTATTGCTAAAAATATATATAATCTTAATAAGAAAAAAAAATGAACGTGTGATCGCCACGCGCGTTAGAAGTGAAACTTCTGAAGGCAAGGCTTTGCCATAACTTTTCTGAAATTAATACAAAAACAATACAACGGAATCAGTCACTCCAAGCCGTCCGTAACTCGAAAATATAGTGTTACACGCAGTTCTCACTATATCCGTCTCGCCAGTGCCGTACGCCTGATCGAATTTTCGTAACGCGTTTTCGAGTCGCAACATCGAATTTACCGATCCAAAAGGAGTTTCACTTTGTACGCCTGTTGGTCGAATTTTCGTGACACTATTTTGTGATGTTTTTTCGTGTCGCACAATCGAACTTACTACCGTGCCAAAAAAGTTTCATTTTGTACGCCTATTAGTCGAATTTTCGTTACACTTTTCGTGTCGCAAAATTCGTGTCGCTTTTCCGTGTCGCATAATCGAACTTACTACCGTGCCAGAAGAAGAAGCCGTCTCGCCAACGCCGTACGTCTATTGGTCGAATTTTCGTGACACTTTTCGTGTCGCAAAATTTGTGTCGCTTTTCCGTGTCGCATAATCGAACTTACTACCGTACCAAAAAAAGGAGCCGTCTTGCCAACGCCGTACGCCTATTGGTCAAATTTTCGTTACATTTTTCGTTTTGCGAAATTCGTGTCCCTTTCCGTGTCGCGTAATTAAACTTACTACCGTGCCAGAAGAAGGACCGTCTCGCCAACGCCGTACGCCTATTGGTCAAATTTTTGTTACACTTTTCGTGTCGCAAAATTCGTGATTTCGTGTCGCGAATCGAACTCACTACCGTGCCTAAAGAAGTTTCACTTCAAAAAGGTCATTTTCACGACGGTATCTTGTAATGCCCCCACGGTAGTGTCGTACGAGTCGGGAACGACGTATCGCTTGTCGTCGTACGGGCTGAGAGCGAGTTTCAACTCGGACACGGTGTGCACCTCGTGTGCAGTCGAACAAATACACTGACGCCTAAACTGCCCTATCGCGTCGTTCAGACAACACATGTATCGCCGAACGTTAAGGCCCGTCTACATAGGTCGCAACACGCCAGACGCAGCTCGCAGACGCGTACGCGAGATGACGTTTCATGGTGCCGCAGCGTGCACGCATTCGCAAATCCG